CAATGACATTGTTGTACTTGGTAAAACGCCTTAGCTGCTACAGCCAACGGTTGACCGAATCACCAGCTTCGCTGCAGGTGTTGGTCTGACGATTAATATAAGCAAGACGAAGTTCCTGACTACGCATCCAGGCACAGCATGACCACTGTTTATCAAGGGTCAACCCTTCGTAGAAGTTAGCTGCTTCCGCTATTTGGGCTCTAATATGCTAGCCAACGGACAGGCCAAAGAAGGAATCAGGAACTGAATGGCGCAGGCTCGAAAGGCATTTAGGCCGCTAGCCAGACCACTCTGGCCTCATTCAAACATCAGCTTACGTACTAAGCTGCTGACATACAGAGCATCAATAAGACTGGTGTTAGTATATCCTTGCGAAACATGGCCTGTCACAAAGGCATACATCCTAGCGCTCGAAGTCTTTGACCGATGGTGTCTTCGACGCCGCTTAAGTCTTCTGGTAGGACCGAATTTCCCATTTCGAGTTATATCGCGGGTTTTTCAAACTATCAAGCCTAGCATCATTCATCCAGCATCGCCAATTACAATCGTTTGGCCGTGTCCTGCGCAAGCCATTGACGGATCTCTGCAGATTGGCCGTAGTGCAAATTGGCGATACCGACATGGCCGTTAACTGAAGACGTGGCTCAACACTGCCAAGTCAGATGTCGAACGCATGGGCCTCGCAGTCGTTTAGGGCTTGCGACACTGGGTTAACATTTGCGAGGAGCTCGCTCCCGATCGCCGCCAATGGGCAACCGCTATCTGTGAAGCCAGTCCATCCAACAATAGCAGCTCATCGGATCAATGTCAACGTGCCACAACAGGGCTGAGTCACCTGCACGGTGTCTGAGTCAGTGCCTCAGTCTTGCCCATCGCACTTTCCCATATCTACGCCAGACGCGCACGCTCTGTCCCCTAACGGACCTCTGGATCAATGTGTCCCTATTCACTCCACCACTTCTGGACGGAAATATGTGTTTGTGTGTCAGGAGAGGACAGTCGGAGGTCGCGCCTCTTGTCAGTGTATACGGCAGTCTTCATTGCATGGGCTGCCACTATCTGTGAAATTGATCCATTCAACAACAGCAGCTCATTGGAGCAATGTCAATGTCAACGTGCCACAACATGGCTGGGTCCCTCCTTCTATATCGAACTATAATTCATATGCAATCCCACCGAAATGGGACAGACCAACCGGCTACTCACCACCGATTGCATCTACCAGTCAAGGCAATAATCGGAAGGTAATCAGCAAGTTGAACCCAGTCTTGGCGAATCAGACACACACGCGACCAGAACGTCCGATGAAAAGAGAGTATGACAACCACCAGGCCTAACTAGGCAACTGATGCGACTGTCTAGTTAAATTAGACAAAAAACGTATATGAGTGGTAGCAAACCAGACACAGGACACGGTAAAGTAGAACGCTGACATACAAATAATATTTTATTAGAAAGGATTTAAACTAACAAGTAGTTGCGTAAAAACAAAGTAAAAACTGAGATAACGTACAGTCCGTTGTGATACAACGGAGAAAAATAAAGGTGTTTACTGTGTCCTGTGATAGCAAAATAGGGTTTAAGAGAGTAGTATCGGCCTCAACCCATTTGACTTGGCCTCGTTTACAAACTAATGGCAAGAAGAGCTGGAAATAAAGTACAATGACAATGGGTATATGAGCAACCGGTGGAACTGCAAGCATTTTCGGCGACGGTGCTCTCACAAGGAACGTCTGCACGAAGGCAATGGGGGAATCACTCGACTTTATGGGACATGCGAGCCCGAAGCCTCAAAAACAATCGGTAGACGCGGACACGAACAAGGAAGAAAGCGATCCCGACCAAACCAAGAATGTAGGTGAGCGCAATTGTAACTTCACTCGGAAGAAGACACTTATTAACAGCGTAGTCGTTCCGAGAGATGTGAAGCTGGAGAGGGAGAACGGTAAAGAAATTTATGCAATACTTGACAGAACAACTACTGAAATTAGCTAGTAGTACTTATTTTAAGATTCACTCCGTAGAATACAGGCGAGGAACGCAGTTTCAAATAGAATGGATTCTTATAGACAAGGTCTTAAAATGAGGCTTGAAACGGATATACGTAACCTACATATAAAAATTATTGAGGAAAAGGTATATATGTTGATCTCGAACGTGTTAGCAAATCTCAATAGGTTGCCAGACAACCAGTCTTTACTAGCTTTTTCTGCCAGAGTTCGCATCGAATTCCTTCTATGGCAGCCGGCAACACGGTGTCGTACAGATACTGGGGCGCAAAGTAAGTAAATGCTGCTTTTAAAAAACTAAGCTCTGTCTGCATGAAATGGCAGGGATATTTGCCGATGGATAAGGCGAGACAGGTGAGAGTTAGACTAGCAGAACTAAAAGAGGATGGGAATTAGACTTACAAGAAGAAATCCAGGACGAGCTGAATCGTACCACGTGAAAGCAGGCACGGTCCATTCTTCGGCAAACAATTTTCCGTTAGAACCGGGAAGCTCGTGTTTACGGTGACAGCCATAGTGTGAATGACCATCTAAGATCAAACGAGGCTGTATTGCTTGCAGAAGCTAGGATTTAAGAAAGAGGTTTGGTAGGTAAATTGGCGATGAAACACTCTTTGTTTGCAGCGCAATCCAACTACGCTTACCCTCTTCGATGTGAACTCGGCCAAACAGTCGTTTTTGGGAGCATAGGGGTCATTACGATGAGTGTTTGGCATGGAGTCCGGATGACCACTCTCGCAGACTGTTTCATCAGGTCGATATAGTGGAAAGTGTTGAAGGAGAATAGGCCGAGAATAGGTGCCCGGCAGGATGGCTGAAAATGTTTAAGGTTATATACAGTTGGTTGAGGAAGAAGGCGAGGGCATATTTAAGAAATTGTGGTACCCGCACGGACAGGTAATAAAGTGCGCAAAAGTGGGGAAAATAGACGTTTTAGACTTTTAGTAGCCTGGCAACAATCTGAATGCGCAATGCCCTTAGATTTGTCCTGCCTAAGCTAATTGGCTTGCATTTTGATGACGCTAGTAATCAATAGCTTCGTTCTGAAAATCACGGCGAACCGCATAAGTTTCTAAGCCTTATTTTCGATTTAGGGAGCGGTAGGACGAGCTTTGAGTGGGGCGAATACTTGATATTGCATTCTCTGCGCATTCCTCAGCATAGAAAAGTCGTGGATTAAAAGATTGGAAACTGTCAGGATAACTCGGTCCAATATAAGGATTCTAGAGTGACTACAGGACTGAGCATCAGCCTGCCATGGGTCCTTCTTAATAGGGCCCCTACGGCACTCACCACACATGTGAGATTCGAGTTGCCCTTACACGAGCATAATAAGTAAACTGGGAACGACTTCATGTGTGACACGTGTAGACAGGTTGTATAACTGTTAGCCACTGTGCCAATTATTTTGACAATGCCTTGCCAC